AAAAAAGAAAAAAGAAAAACTCCTGAGCTTTTACCCTTAGAAGTCAGAGCTATGGGGAAAGTCAAGACAACTGACTGTGGTATACTTGGTGGGCACTTAGTCATTCAAGTAGTCACTAACAACACGTGGGAAAAATTTGGAGTGGTTGGATGAATAGTTAGAACTCAATAGATGATGAGGATGGATTGATAAATAAGTAGATGGATAAAATTGGAAGAAAAATAGGTTTATAGGGGATAGGTGAGCAGGAATCAGTTAATTTTCAGTAAAATAATGTCAGCTAGTTGTATTCAAATATGACACATCTACATCAGAAAGTTAAACTCTATTCATCTGTTCATTGTTATTTATCACAGGGATTATGATCGAGAACAGTTTGCTGATAACCAAATCCCACTGTTGGTAATAGGGACTAAACTGGACCAGATTCATGAAACCAAGCGCCATGAAGTTTTAACTAGGACTGCTTTCCTGGCTGAGGATTTCATTGCAGAAGAGATTAATTTGGTGTGTATTTTCATTAATGCATGTTTATATTATTATCAGGTAGATGCAATACCAAAGACTTATATTCGAATCATATATTCTAGTGAAAGAAGCATTATACTTGAAGTCAGGCTATTTTGCTTCAAGTCTAAAGGTAGTCAAGATTGAAATCAGTATTTCTAGGACTTTCAGATGTGCACAGTCTCTTCAGCCTTGTATGCTGATCCGTTGTAATGTTCGGACTTTATCCTATGAATAATGCAAATCAAGGGGTTTTTTTCTCGAGAAAATTTTTAAAAATCACACCAAAGTTAAAAATTAAATTGATTTAGGTGACACTACTCCTTGATTGCTACTGCTTTAAAAGAGCTTCTTGGCTAATTAAACTATAAAATTTACCTCACAGGCCAACCCCCAAAAAAGCTGAGAAAATTACAAATTGTAAATAATGAGTGCTTCATAAGCACTAATTTTTTAAACTGATGCATGTAGAAAGGATTGAGTCCCTTCCTTACATAGCTAGCTCAGTTAGAACTGAGTTCTAAAAAGACTAAGACAGTTGTCATATAAATCAGTTAGCAATATTCAGATAATTATCCTGGCCAGCAGCTTCAGTTGTGGTTATATGTAGTTGTTCACAGTAGGCTTTGTGCATCATAGTCAGTGCACTGGCATTCCAAATGTACAGTGGTGGTGGTATAGCAATACTAATGACCAACATTTATTGAGCACTTACATACTGAACACTGTCCTAGTGCTTTATGTACATTATCTCACATGCATCATCTCCACAATCAACCTTACAAGGTAGGTACTATTATTATCCTTATTTTAAAAATGAAGACAAGAAACAGAGGTAAGAAGGCCAAGGTTACTCAGGTCAAATACTGCACTTAGACTCAGAGGCTATGCTCTGCAATTAAACCTATTTTCTACTTAATTATCCTTCAGCTAACATTCAGAATTTTGGAGCTAAAGAAACTCTTAGAAGTCACCTAGACCAACAGTTGACTAAACCCGATTGTATATTATCAATAATATCTATGAACATTTTGGACTAACTGCACCCCTGTTGGAGATGGTTATTGGTAAGGTCTGGCAAAAGGACCTGTAGTTGTCATAAATAACTCAGGTGATTCTCATCCCCTTACTCTGTGAGGCAACATTTGTGAGCACTGGTTGCGTCGCCTCACCTCTCTATTCCCATAACTGTCAGCTTTTGCCTGCCATTCCTTTGTTTTTACATTCTGCTTTGAAGTGGAGGGTGCCTCGTTTTTTCTTAGCTCCCACAACGGAATATTCGATGTAAATGCTCCAGGTAGTCAGTACTGGACAATGGTTTTCCAAAGGATTCCGGCTATATAGATATATAATATCCTTGTGGAAGAAGTGATGAGGTTACTTTGAACATTATTGCCAAAGGGATATTTACCACTAAATATACTTAATTTGTTCCAGCGCTTTTAATATATTTCTAAATGTATCTGTTTTAGTGGCTGTGGGTTTCTGTGCAATCTAGCATCATCAGTTACTGTGTGAATGTACTTAAAACTGTAGAAAAGAAAGAATATAACAGATGTATACTTCAAAGGTAGAATCAAAGTTATCTTCTGCCTGAATAAATGCAAATTCTTTAAATTATAAATAGATGGGAGATTACTTATTTTTTAAAATGATGTTAGGCTTATGGGTCTAGTACAAATTTTTCTCTGTTATGTGTTTACTTCAAGGTGATCATATTAAAGCATGTTCCTTAGCTAATGGTCCTTTCTCAAGCTCAGACAAGCTATTTAGAGCTATTAATTTTCAGTCTTTACCCTCAGCCACGATCAATGGTAGATGGCTCTATCAGCAATTAAAGTCTCATCCTAAAAATCATAAGGCTTCTCTAGCTGGTCAACCTGAAATTGTGGAGCCCTAGAATTAAGCTTGGGGTGGGGGCAGTGGTTTGTTCACTTGCTGTTTATTTAGTACTTTAGCTCTATTTGGAATTATCTCAGAAGTTTTTTGACGTTTTGATAACTAATCAATATCCATTTTATAAAACATTTCTACCGCAGGTCAAAAGTTTGTCTCTCCTTATATGCCCTAACTGCTGTAGAAATGTGTTCAAACATTACTTCAAATACTTTAGTTTGTACAGTGATGTTTCAGTCTATATAATCTTTATTATGGTAAGTGCTTTTTCTACCTGAAAATTCAATCTGATAACATTTTCTTAGATTAAATAGAAAAAGGAACTAATATTCTGATACCTGTTGTATCCAGGCATGCATAATCTCATTTAATTTTCGCAAAAATCCTGTGGGTTAAAGTATTATTTTCCCTATTTCACAAATAAATGCCCAACTTTAGAGGTTAAGTAGCCAAAGCAGTGTTACAACACAGTCTTAGTAATGTTGGGACAGATATGCAGATTCAGAGCTTGCTGGCTTCGAAGATCCCTTAGCTTTGAAAAATTTGTGTAGTCTCTTTTTGTATGGTTTTTAAAGAATAGTTTCCAGTCAGAATTTAAAATGTGAGCCTTGAAATGTTGCATATGAATACAGTAAGCGATTGTTACTAAATTCATTAGATAGGATTCATGTGGGCCTAGTGATTTCAAAACAGAGTAAATGCAACAACAATAATTTCTATAAGTTCTCAAGGGGTATAGAGGATCTATAGCTGAAAGACAGGTGTGGTCCTTGGAAAGGAGCCTACATGCACTCCTCATAATTTGTTCTTAAGTAGCATTTGAAGTACAAATAAAAGTACTCTGTCTCTTGAGGTGACAAGGCAGTGCTGACAAGCAAAAACAACACAATGCTGGAATTCCAGCAAAGGATAATAGTAAGCCTTTTAAGGTCTTCACAAAGCTATTGTAATGATTTAATGTTCCAGATTGTTTCATTTCTTCTGGACCCATTTTTTTCCTATTTAAAAAAAATGCCATCAAACAATAGTAATATATCTATTGTTTATTATCTAAAATAATATGTCTTTGTGGCCTCCTGAGAGATGAAGTACCTTGCTTCTGATGAATTGAGAAATCCCTGGTGATTGTTCTGTTTGTTCTTTGCTCCTCTAAATCCTTATTTTCATGCATCCTACTATTCATGTGACCTGTACAGTACTTAATTAGTTGAGCACTAGTAAATAACCAGTACTAAAAAGTGAAGTGTGTACTGTTTTTAATGGCTCTATTTTTGGTTTTCTGGGTAAATTTAGGTAGGTCACTTGGTTAGTACCTTAGTTTTGTTATTGGTAAAATATTAGCAATCTTGTCTTCCTTTAGGAATTCTTTGACAATAAATACATTGATTCAGTCTACTCAAAAATTGATTAAATGACAAAGAGCAAGTGGCCTTATCTACCTTAGTACTTTCCACCTCGCTTTGCTCCTCATAATTTGAAAAGTATTTGAGTATTTTACGAGAATGTTATACCTAATAGAATAGAATAGAAGAATAGAATATTATGCCTAAAGAAACGTGCAGCAGGAAAGGTTGTGACTAACAAAGAGCTTAGGCTTCCTAACTTTCAATTGTGGATCTTATGTTTTATCTTCTAGGATTGCACAAATCCACGGTACTTAGCTGCAGGTTCCTCCAATGCTGTCAAGCTCAGTAGGTTTTTTGATAAGGTAATAGCTTCAATTATGTTAATTTTAAATTTAATTTGTATATTATGAGAGTTCAAACTTTTTGTAGAATCCTGTGTCCCTTTATTCCTTTGTCCAAAACTTCACAGCCTGAATAATAGTGTTTTGATCTCTCTTATCTGTTGGTACCATTGCTCAAGGCCTGCTGACGTATTTATTCCATCATCAGTGTCCTCTAAGTAAAGGGTGAAAACTACTGAATGGGTTTTTTTTTTAAGATATTGAATTCCTCTTCTTAAAACAAACGATGTTGACCCATTTTCTAGCTCTTTTTGTACTTATTCACCTGCCTCCCCCCACACACATACACACTAAAGTCTTGAGTTCTTTTTTACATTTCCAGCTATTAATATTCTCCACATAAATGTTACTGTTACTTTTTAAGGTCATACCATCTTCTTGATTTCCTAATGTTTCCCTGTTGGAAAGCTTTGTATTTTAATTGTTGATTCTTTGATTGCAAAATCTTACTTTCCTAAACTGGAATGAAGATATAGAATGACTCAGCAAACTGGTAAACTAGAGTTCTGTTTGTCTGTCTTTCACAAGGCCCTGCAGGTGCATTGACCAAGTTTAAGCTGTTCACCCAATATTGACATTACATAGGAAAGTAGAATTAGATGTCTGTCTGTACATATTACTGAAAAAGGTTAATTCCTGTGTTAGATTCACATTTCCTTCCTAGTAGCTCTTTATGAACTATTTTTCTTTTAACTATTAGAGATCTAATATTTGGCCCTTTTATTCAATATGTCAGCATAAAGTAAGCCCCACTCCCATCTATATTTAATATAAAACCACTAGGAAAATTTTGCTTCACTGCAGAGCTTCTTAACTAGCTCATGGCAAATAGGTACCTGAGCTAGTCAAACTATTGATTCCTTCAGTTCTTAGAGCAGCCAGAGCCCTCAGGGTTGGAGGCTGGGTGATTGGCAGCCTCTTCCATTTTCCGCAATCTCCTAGCCAAATATTTGCTCTTTCTGTGTATACCATGACATGAGAACTTGGGAAGCACTGCAAGGGACCAGATTTTCTCTCCACATTGTTTTCAGACTTAAAACGGTTTGGATCCATGGCCCCATCTATAAAAAATTCTGTCCCCTACGAGGAACATCTTACTGATTTAGTCTGACCTAGAAAGTTCCCAAAGTATGTTATTTTTAATTTTTAAATAATTTATTAATTTGGAATTTAGAAAATAAATTGTGCTAACTTATATCCTAGAAAAAGAGTGAGTTTTAGACAAGTGTAACCCAAGTTGTCAGGCAAGCCTTTGTTAAAAAAAAAAAAAATCAGGAGCAATTGTTTGGTTTTAGGAAGGGATAAAATTTAGTAAGAGAAGGACATTGCAAGTTGAGGGTAAAAAATTATGACCAAAAATAAAAGGTAACTTCTCTCTTATTTGCCTAAATCATAACAAATAGTATGTGGACTAGGAGGTTGGCGGACCTCCAGATGACTTTTTGATGTTGTGTTATCTGCTTACATTGAGGATGTATAGAATTTATCACCATTTACTATGGGGATGTGGTGATTTGGCACATTAAGCAGATTCCTTTTTAAGAAATAGCTCTTGCCTATTGTAACATGCAGGTGCTTTGCTTTTATTTATGGATTCTGTTTGGTACCTTCTGGAGCAGACTGCTAGTAAACTGACGAGTCATACTTGCTGCCATACTCAAAGAAATGAATGGGATCTTACATCATTTTCTCATTATTAATTGCTTTTGTTGTTCTTTTTTTTTTTTTTAATATATCATTAATGCTTTTTGGAATAAGGCAGGCCATTATGGAAATAACTCCTATAATCCTGATCTCATTAACACTAGATTTTTTTCTTTTTTTTTGAGATGGAGCCTCAAGCTATCCCCCTGGGTAGAGTGCCATGGCATCACGCTCACAGCAACCTCCAACTCCTGGGCTCAAGCGAGTCTCCTGCCTCAGCCTCCCAAGTAGCTGGGACTACAGGTGCCCGCCACAGCGCCCGGCCATTTTTTGGTTGCAGCCATCATTGTTGTTTGGCGGACCCGGGCTGGGGATTCGAACCCACCACCTTAGATGTATGTGGTTGGCCCCTTAGCCGCTTGAGCCACAGGCACTGAGCCAACACTAGATTTTTAACTCATTGTACTAAATGTTCATTGCTGTTAAGAAGATCTTTAATTTGGATATTCCTTTTAGTCCTATTAGTGGCCATTACAGTTAGTGACTTTTTCCAGGTATGTGTGCTAAGTCCTTAAAATCTTTATTTGTTTCTTGTAGGTTATAGAGAAGAGATACTTTTTAAGAGAAGGTAATCAGGTTGGTATTTATCTTTTCTTGATATACTTTATGCTTAAATTTGGACAGATGATTTCCACATTTGTTTCCACGAGTGGTTAAAAAAAAAAATTGGAGAAAGCACCGTATAGGCACAAAGATTGATTTTCTCATTAAATACAAAAGGAGAAAATCAAAGCAAAGTGAAAAGAAGAGTCTAAGAAACAAGGAGAATCCAGGAATAATGTTACATTATAAAATAATAGAAGAATGTCATTTTCTTGGGTCTCCAAAAATGTATGTCCAGAGTCTGCCACAATACAAATAATTTATTTGAAAGTCTGTAGGAAGTATTATGAGATTCACCTTCATCCTTTCTGCTGTAGATGATACTGTCACCGGTGTGTTGACAAAAATTTTTCATTTTGATAAAGTATCTTTTTAATCTTATATGGTTTTTTTGAGAAAAACTATAAAAAAAACTAGTTCTTTAAGTATTAACAGGCTGATACACAAAAATGAAAAATATGGGAAGAATTACTATTACCATTTAAACTTGTCATTATTGAAACTTAATGTGATTATCTTTCTTGCCTGCAGATTCCAGGTTTTCCTGATCGAAAAAGATTTGGGGGAGGAACATTAAAGAACCTTCATTATGACTGAATTACATTCCCCCTTTGGAAGAGCGAGCAAACAGTGGCAGTTTTTCACAGCTTTCCCTTTGCTGTGTTTGATTATTAATGTCTTTTAACAAGATCATCTTAAAATACCATCCTTCAGCCTCTCCCTTTAATGGAAAATGAAAGAAGGGACAGCATGGACAGTCCACACTTGGTCCCTGTTTTCTCTGTTCCTCACCTTTCCATCCCTGTTTATGGATTACGTAAAAACCCTGTGGAAATATGAGATACTGTCAAAATGTTGCTAAATGAGCACTGATGGAGTACTGCAGAGAAAATTCACTCCTGCCTGGAACTGGCGGGGTTTTATGGGTCTGTACTTTTCCCACACTCATTGCTGAAGGCTTAATTAAGTACTTCAAAAATGTATCTCTATTGTTTTACCTTCTTTCCAGGGGAAAGGTTCTGTTAACCAGCTCTGAGTTGTCCACCCCAAACAATCTCTGTCATTTTCAAAGACACAAAATGGTGTTATTTAATTGTCTCCACCCTCATTACACATAGGGATGCCTAATAATAGCAACCTTGTCTCCCTCTTCGCTCCTTTGCAAATGGCTCAGTGGCTAGAAGAGGTGGACTAATAGCTGGAGTTAAATATAAATACAGATTAATAATACATGGAGAACAGCAGTACCAGAAAAAAAGAATTCTGTGAAAAATTGACAGCTCCTTCACCTTTAGGTTGCAGCTGTCTGTGATATCATTGTTTTATTTGGAAAATAGATATGGTAAAATCTAAGACCTGCACAGGGGCAATAGAGATTTATAGCCTCTTATTTTTTTTTTTTTTTAAGGAATAGTCAACTCCTGAAATTGTCAACTCCTGAGTCAATTCTCAGAAAACTAAGAATATTATTCTTGTGTCAACAATATTTTTATGGAGAGAAGTAAAAATAAGTTCCACAGCAACACATTTACATGAATTATGAACTAGGATTCTTGGATTTCATAATCACTCCAAAGCTTTTTGGGGGTGGTGTGTGTGTGTGCATGTGTGTATGCATAATTGTTCATCGTTACTTTTTTTTTTAACCCATCTTTTTTGCTTAACTCTCTCTGTACTAAGTTCTTTAGTATATAAATTAGTATCTAAAAACTAATTGATTCAACACTTTTATCACCCATATTCTTTCTCTGGCTCTGGTGCAGGTCTCCACACGTGAATGCTCATATTACAAAACAACAATAATAATAATAAATGTGTAGTTTCAGCTTCTCATTTTAAAGCTGGGGAAAATTTTTCTATTTCATTTTAAATTTCAGAAGTGTTTTGAGAATCAAGGTATGCTTAAGAGGATATTAAAATAATATCAGAGAGTGCTTTGAAAAGGCAGTCTTGGGAATTTGGGAAAGAATTTTAAAAGCAGTTTTCATCAGCTAGACTGTTCTCCAGACTTTTTTTCCTTCCTCTCTGATAAGCTATAGCCCTTGTGTCTTTTTGACATAAAGAGAAAGCTATGCCCATCCTGATCTGTATGTGGAATCTGTCACAAGTGTGTCAGAGCAGAGACTGCGCAATTAGGAAGTGGCAACTAAATGCTACACAAAGACCTAACCCAGCTGAAGCTCTTTCTATTCTCCTTTAAGGAATAAATCAAAAACCCTTTCCTTCCCTCTCCTTTCTTCCTTTCTTTCTCTTAATTAAGAAAAAAACTATCCCAATTTTTTTTTTTTTGTTTTCTACCTTATTAAAAAAAAGTAACCCATCACTGATTGCCCCAAGGTCAATCTGGAAAAATGAACAGTATTGAAGAATACTGTTCCTCAACTCTTTCTTCTTGCTCCCAGGTTTGATTTCCTGAAATCAATGTTTTCCTAAGGAAAACATTTTTTTAATAAGGTAATTTTGTTGAGAAAGTGTGCTAAGAAAGGAGCTGCAAGGGGATGAGAGGAAAGGGTGGAGGGCCCATAAGAATGTGGGTATGAAGTAAGCTAGTTAACCAATGACCAGTAGAAAAGGGCAGTACTGCCTGGAGGTGCAGAGAGGCCAATCACAGACTTGCAACCTCTTTCAATCAAGAAACTATTTATACCCATGTACTGGCAAAGCCCTTTGCATCTCTGTCTCTCTCACCTTCTCTCCAAGATGAGAGGGGCCCACTTCTAAACTTTGTCTTTCTCAATAAAATTTCTCCTCGTTACACTGAAACTTGTGCAAGTTACTTTGCTCTCTATTCATGCTGCTTGTGTTGCTCCAGTTTTATTTCCAGTTTCCATTCATTTTTGCCTTCAATTACCACTGTGCCTTGTGGAGGAATTGAACCAGGTAACTGGGTTCGAGGTGCTGGGACCCCTCCCCCACCCCCAACAATTGTATTGGTAGCAGCAAAATAAGGCATTTTGCCCAAATTAATGTTATTAGCTTGGGTTTGTTATCTTTAAACAAATTTTCTTTTAAAACAATTTTCATGGCTCGGCGCCTGTGGCTCAAGTGGCTAAGGTGCCAGCCACATACACCTAAGGTGGCAGGTTCGAATCCAGCCCGGGCCTGCCAAACAACAATAATGGCTGCAACCAAAAAA